CATGTGCACTGAGCTCATGACCCTTAATCCAGTCGACATCAGGAACAGCCTCGGAAGACGACCTGATACTGATTATGTTGACCGTTTCCGACAAGAGTCTAGAGGTGCCCTCTTTCACTAGTCGAGCGGTTCCCAAAGCCCCCCACCCTCATCTAGTCACTTTATTTTACAACATACGCAAGTACTGTATGCAAGTTACCAAGCTACCTTTACGCTAGAGTATATTTTCTAATACCATACTAATCATGCAGGTTTTGTTTCTCATTTAATGTCACTTGTCACATAAAATTACATAAAACGAAAACAAGAACATGAAGTTAGATTTTCACTCGCATGAGCCAAGTTTCGAGGAGTATTAATGAAGCTTTAGTTATCGGTGGGTTTCTTTTCGCCCGTTCGTTGCATGGTTTGTAAACGCAAAGTATAAGGCGACGAGTCCAAACTAATAAATTAGAACGAAAGTGCTAACTTCGGCCTCGGTTACGTTTCAACCTTCAGAGTTACGTCCGCTGAAGTACACGTGAATGTCATGAAATATTGCCGATTAATGACCTGTTAAAACTTTTAATAAGGCAGAAACGTAAACTCTACCATTACAACTTTTTTTTCCTTCGCGCACCCCGAGCGATCATCTCATGCATACTAAAGGCGATTGTGCCAGAGTTTGGGAACCTTTAGTATAATTCAATAAGTGGCGAAACGCAGTTATCCTTACATTCACTGATCGTACTCAGCTACAGACGTCGTCAAGTACATGCGCTGGGCAGCGCCTTACCACAAAACTACTTCCATACACTGCAAAATTGCACCAGGTTGTGCAAATGCCCAATTTAATTGGGCATACATAAGCTTTCAGTAAAAATGCACAGGTTAGTACGAATTTACTGAATATCCACTGGGCACGGGCATTTATAAAGTACAAAATCTTTAAGTATATTTAAATATGGTTTGGTATAAAATAACCGTTTCTTTCTGAACCCATACAGCAACTTTCTTTAACTCACCCTGAAATTATCATTTTACAGTGCTTGCAAAACACCTTGCGTGTTTCTGGTATTATTCGCTGAAATGCAGTGACTACACCAACTGGATCCGGTCGACATCCAGGAACGCAGGCGGCTGTCTGGCCGCTCCCAAGCTCTCGCGGAGGTGCCGGATGGTAAATTTAATGTATATGCTAAACAACACCCTTCTACATATAGAACATAATTCTATACAGAATTAAGACAGATAAATCGAAAGAAGATAATTACAGACGTAGTTCATAAAAAAGGGTACGTAACTGCTGCTATAACCAGAAAAACTAGTCAGTTGTGGCATCACCTCGTTTATGGGTGTCCCGTTACATTCACTACGCTCTAAAGAATACGGTATCGTTATTTCCTAAGGGGAAACTTGAAAATATAGGCAAACTTTACGTATGGCGGTTGATCTACTAGATCTTGGAAATATCGGTTTCAGATATTACTACAAGAATAGAGTATTCACTACAAAACCGGATAAGTATTACAGATAATATACCTCAAAAACACGAGAGGCAATCAATTCATCCGATAATCAGGGGAGTTTAATGACCTACTTAGGCACTTACTTACTCAGTCGCATTCCGAAATAGTATTCATATTCAAGATGTTTGTTTAAAGACTATGGCATAATGACAACATACATGCAATTAAAAGGTAAGAGTAAATTATCGAATAGACAAAATAATGGGCGGAAATGGTCCTTCTGCATCTACCCACTGTTATCCCTTATCTTTTCATAATCATCCTTACACACACACAGACAGACAGACAGACAGACAGACAGACACACACACACACACACACACACACACACACACACACACACACATATATATATATATATATATAAATCAAGGCCTATGATACAGTAAATTTATTCAACTTCAAGAGCCAAATAAAAGTTTCAAGATAATGTACTTACGACGACAAACTCAAAATGACTATGAAAAATTGGGACGCTGAACTGATGATACAGTATACATAAAATTAGAGAAACATGACAAACAAATATGTCCTAATGTTGACAAAGGATTATCAGAAGGAACAAAAGAAAATAAAGGTAATGGCAGACACTTATAGATAGTAGGAGAGGGGAGATGCAGGGAGGAGTTCGGAAGAGAGAGAGAGAGAGAGAGAGAGAGAGAGAGAGAGAGAGAGAGAGAGAGAGAGAGAGAGAGAGAGAGAGAGAGAGAGAGAGAGAGTGGGAGGGGAGGGGGGTTAACGGTGCTTCCGAAAAAGAATATTCTGGGTGATAATTTAAGTTTTTGTTACATTTCCTCGCACGTGGGCGATTTCTATACGCATTCTGCAATCTCCATGCCCTCTCTGGGAATAGACGTCCATGATACTCCGTGAAGCTAAATACGCCATAAAGTGGAGTAGAGGCGAGAGCCTGAGTGAAGCAAATGGTCAGAAGGGCATTTGGGGAAAGTGGAGTGAAGGAAAGGGACAGGGGGGGGGGGGGGTGAGAAACAGAGTAGCGGAGGCCTGTATGAGGTTACTGGAGGCACATTCTGTACCGGGGGCGAATTTACAAAATAAAGCTGAAGAAAATATGACTGGAGGATTCTAACATGAAATGACAAAGTATTTTTTCAGAGGGTCGTGGGTAAGCCCGGGCAAGG